AACGTGCGGCGTTCCGCGCGCTGCAAACCCATCCAGCTCAGGGGGGCTGGGGCCTGGAGCGCGGCACGCCAAACTCCAGGAGCAGCGTGACTGCCGTGGGATTGTCCCCATCTCCTCCTTCCCCACGGATCAGCTCTCCAGCTGATCCATGTCTGGGTTCTGATCCGGCTCCTCTTTGCCTCCGCAGATCGAGACGTCCCAGCTGGAGCCTGAGATCGCCATGGCCACCACCAGTAAGACTGTGGTCTACAACAAAGGGTTGTGAGGGCAAGAGGAGCACCCCAGCCCAGGAGGTCTGGGAGGGAAGAGGGGAAGCTCCAGCCCTGGGAGAAAGCAAACAGCAACAAGAAGATGAAATAACAGAGCTCGGTGATAGGAACTGCTCCCGGCAGCCCGGGAGTGAATTAACACCTGCAGAGAACTGACACCTCACACCACTCAAAAAGATTCATATTAAAAGTTTTAACTTAGCAACAGGAGCAGCAACTAACAACAAATAAAATCACGTCGAACCACTTTAGAACTAGCTAACAAAACTCAGAATTACTGGCACTGCATGGAGGGAGTTCAGGGGCGAGCTCACGTGGTCGGAGCTGCCCGCACGGCGCAGACGTCACCCAGCACCTCTCGTGTTCCTGGGAGCTCAGTCCCCACTGCTGCTGCACAACACCAGCTCTGCAGAGACCGAGGGGGCCGTGGATGTCATTGATCAGGGGATTGGCAATGCCCACTATTGATTTCCTGCCCATCCCACCCCAGCCCTCGTGCGCTGAAGAGGAATTGCCACGTCCGTGTGCCCAGCGAAGGGCTGGGCTGTGCCCCTCCGTCCCTCCTCCTCCTCCTCCTCCTCCTGCAGACACTGCTGGTGGCATCCTGCCCTTCACTGCGAGACTGGCTGGCCCTGGATCCCCCTCCTTGGAATTCCACAGGGCCTTTGGCCTGGGTTTCAAGATCCTGGAAAGCCAAGGTGCCCACAGGTGGAGTGTCGGAGCAGAAGTGATGCTGGAGCTGCTCTGTTCCCCTGCACAGCCCTGAGGGGGGTTTGTCCCACCCAGCACCCTCTGACAGGGAGGTTGCTCCTCTGAGGTGGTTGGCTAAGCCACGCTTTGCTGAGCTGGTGTCTAAGGACAGGATGTGGTTTAAGTTTGGATCAATCCCCAGCTGGGCAGGCTGTTGGACAAGGATCATGGCAGCCCCCTTCCAACTGGAATTCCTCCTCTCCTCTCCTCTCCTCTCCTCCTTTTTTTTCTCCTTCTCCCTTCTCTTCCTCTTCCTCCTCTTCCTCTTTCTCTTTCTCTTCCTCTTCCTCTTCCTCTTCCTTTTCCTCTTCCTCTTCTCTCCCCCATTTTTGCCACCCCCTCCACCCAGCAAAGCCAACTCTGCCCAATGCCTTGTGCTGGTGCAGATGAGGACCCAAAGCCAGGTCCTGGCAGCTGTGCTGAGCTGATGGCCGTGACACTGCACCTTCAGAGGGGACACTGCCCTCTGGGGACATCTGTCTGTCTGTCTGTCCCTTCAGGGGCTCCCCTTCGGGGTGGTTAAAGAGGAGAGCTGAGTCACCCCCACACTGCACCGAGTCCTGCCCTCCCTGGCTTTGGGGCCACAGTTTGGCTTTGTTTTATCTCACAAAACTCAACAGAAATTCACCCAAAATCCAACCCTGAGGGACTCCCTCGGGTTCATTTGGAGCGTGGCCACCAGCAGAACCAGAGGCAGGATGTGCCTGCAGGACCCATGTCCCTCCTGCAGGATCCCCCGTGCTGGTGCTGGGCTGGCACAGGCTCTTACCCTTCAAATGCCAATTTCCTGTGGGGTTGGGGAGGGTGGGGGAAAGGGAAACCAAATCACCACTGACACAGAATGTATTTGATGGATTTATTGCAATGCCTGGCACTGGGAGGCCTGAGCCCCCAGGTGTGGAGTCAGAGCCACAGTGGGGCAGCTCAGGGCCCTGGTTCTGCCCGGCCGTGGTGTAAATCAGGAGTGATTGCACAGAAGGGCTGGGTGCTGTGGATTTACACATCAGCAGCAGGGCAGGAGGGGCCAGCTCCAGGCCCCTCGTAGCTGCTGTTCTGGGACAGCTCCTGGTCCCAAACACTGCTGGAAACCCAGAGTGGGCCCCCCTCAGCCCTGGGGCTCTTCTGGGTTCACACCAGGGCCAGGACGGCTGGCCTGGGCCCAGTGGAGCTCCTTAGTGCACTAGATGAGATGAATGTACGTTCCAGAGGATGATCCCACCCCAGCTGGGATCTGGGGAGACCACAAGGAGGTGACAGCTGTCCTGGGGACATTTCCATGGCCATCTGTCCTACTGGCAGCACCCTGGGAGCAGATAACTCCTGCAGCAGGGAGGGGGGAGCACAGGGAAGGGGAGAAGGGATGCTGGCAGTGTCCAGGGAAGGGGAGAAGGGATGCTGGCAGTGCCCAGGGAAGGGGAGAAGGGATGCTGGCAGTGCCCAGGGATGGGGAGAAGAGATGCTGGCAGTGCCCAGGCCTGGAGGAGCAGCTGGGAGCCTGGAATGGGCTCTTTCCATGGGGCTGTGGGGTGCTGGGGGTGCAGGTACCCCTGGCAGCACACCCATGGGGCTGTTGGAGCAGGGAAAGGCTCCTGTGAGGATGAAATTCCCCCTGGCCAAAGGGGCTCAGCTGCAGGACCAGCACTCTCTGCCTTCCTCCAGCTCTGGAGCTGACAGGGAGAGGGCTCCTGGCTTGGGTGCCTGTCGGCTGCAGCCTTCCCCCTCCCCGTGGGTTCTGTTCAGAGCTTCCTCACGCCAGGCTTTGGTTTGGAGCAGGGGAAGGAGGAAGGGATGGAGGCTGTGCTCTGCTGTGAGACCCCAGAGAGGAGGGAGCAGTGGTTTGGGTTTGTGGGTGATCCCAGAGCCGAGGTTTGGTGTCTGGGCTGGGGTCACCTGCAAGGAATTTCCAGTGGATGGAAGGAGGCTGGGCTTTGCTGCCATCAAGGAAACGCAGGGATTGAGCAGGGTCTGCCTAGGGAAAGAGCCAGCTCCCGATTTCCCGTGATGGGAGTGCCTGTGGTGATTCCCTGCACACTCATCACCTGCAGGGATCACTCATCGTTAGCAGGGGGTGCCCATCAGCAGGGCTGAACCCAGCAGAGGCTCGGGTTTATTAAACCAGGCAGCTCCGGGGAATGCAGAGGGCCTGATCCCGCGGGAGGGGCTGGGACCAGCTTGGGGATGTCAGAGGAGCTGTGCTGTGAGCGTGGCTCGGCTCAAAGGCAGCTGCTCCGTCAAACAAGTGACAATCAAAGGGCCTAAATGAGTCTGGGTTTGTGTCTGCCCGCACAAACCCCGTCAGACTTGTTTGGCTTCGTGTGGCAGCAGAACGGGACTCAGGCAGCTCGGCAGGGTTTGTGCTGAGGAATGGAACATCCCGGGCCTGAGTCAGCCATTCCCCGGGGTTACCTCTGCCCGCCTCTGGCAGCTTGGCACCAGTGGTTCCTCCCAAATTTTGTCCCAGTGTCACTCCAAGTGTCGTGGCCCCTGCCCAAAACACGGGGCAGAAGCTCCTGGGGGGAGCTGGGCACAGCCACCAGGCCCTGGGCTCAGTTCCCTTCTCCAGCCTCCTCTGGCAGCACGGAATCCTGGAATGGTTTGGGTTGGAAGGGCTCTGGAATCTCATCCCATTCCAAACCCCTGCCACGGAGGGCTCCAAGCCCCATCCACAGTCCCTGCAGGTCCGGGGTGGGAGGTGGCCCTGCAGACCCTGGGACTGGTCCCCACATCTCCCAAGCCCATCCCTGGCACGACCAGGGCTCTGCAGGCCCCTCTCTGCTGCCCTTCCCCTCGTGTCCCCAGCTGGTGACGAGCAGGACGAGGGCTTTGCGTGAGGAGCGCGTTGTGCTGGCTCTGTGTTCCCAAAGCCTTGAGTCCTGGGGTGTCCCACGATCACAGTGTCCCCAGCTGAACCCCGCTGTGGTTCCCGCGAGGGCGGGGTTGGATTCTGTCCCAAAGCAGCAGAGAAGCTCCGGGCCCCAGGCGGGCCCCGTGGCTCTGCGAGGGCAGCGCCGCTGCGGCAGCTCCAGCCCGCTCCTCCCGGGACAGCCGCGGCTCCGGTCCCTGCCCTCGCGTGGGAGCCAGGGAGAGCAGGGCAGTGTCCGCCTGGGAATGCCACGTGGGGATGCCACGCGGGAATGTCGCATGGGAGTGTCCCACGTGGGAACGTGCCACGTGGGCATGTCCCACATGGGAGTGTCCCACGTGGGATTGTTACATGGGAATGTCCTACATGGGAATGCCACATGGGAATGTCACATGGGAGTGTCCCATGTGGGAACATGCCACATGGGAATGTCACATGGGATGGTCACATGGGAATGTCCCACCTGGGAATGTCTCACCCACCACCACGGAGCCACCAAACTCCGCTTGTTCCCTCGCTCCCAGTTCCTCCCAGTTCCTCCCAGTGCCCCCCAGTGCCCCCCAGTGCCTCCCCGTGGCCGTCCCACGGGGACACCGCTGTCCCCTGCCCCGCGGGTATCCAGGTGAGTTTCCAGCACGTTTTTCTTTTATTTCCACGCAGTAACACTCACTACAGCTGCTACCTACGGAAGGGAACGCACGCACACGGGCACGGGGGAGAAAGAATAAATTAAAAGAAATCCTCATAAAAAACCCCAAACGACGAAACCAACGGAGAAAACCAGGGCTGGGGCGGGGGTGGGAGGAAATGGTGGGAAACCAGAATAAAAAGGCAAAGGAAGAAGGGCTTGGAACATCGAGCTTCTGGCAGGACGCGGTGGCTGGATGTCACGGAGCCCGGCGCCGAGCGGGATGCGCGCTCCGGGGCCGCCCTGGCAGCCTCCTCTCCCCGCTCGGCTCGGCCGGAGCTCCCCGAAAGCCCCTCCGAGGGTCGCCCCGGGCGCGGGGGGGACGGGGTCGGGCCGCGGCTGTGTCCCTACAGTCCGGTGGGTGCCGGTGTCCCCGCGGGCTGCGCCGGGCTCCTCTGCATGGTGGCCGCACCAGCAGCCTGTCCCTGCCTTAGTCGTTGGAGGTGACGTCGATGTCTTCTCCGCTCGACTGCTTGGTGGCGAGGCGCCATCGGTTGATGTGGTGCGAGCCCTTCTTCTTCTGGTCCGAGTCGGGGCCCTCCTCCTCCAGCTTCTGCCGTTTGTATTTCGTCCGCCGGTTCTGGAACCACACCTTCACCTGCGGCACAGCACACAGCGCCCCGTGGGCCCCGGCACGGCGGCTCTGCGCGGGGAGGAGGCTCGGCTTTCCCGGAGGCTCGGCTTTCCCGGAGGCTCAGCTTGCCTGGAGGCTCGGCTTGCCCCGACTGGCCCTGGCCCTGGCCCTGGCCCTGGCCCTGATCCTGACTCTGTCCCTGTCCCTGTCCTTGTTCCGGTCCCTGGCCCTGGCCCTGTCCCATTCCTTTTCCTATCCCTATCCCCAACCCCATCCCTGTTCCTGTCCCTGACCCCATTCCTGTCCCTATCCCCATCCCTGTCCTATCCCTGTCCCTGTCCCTGTCCCTGTCCCTGTCCCTGTCCCTGTCCCTGTCCCTGTCCCTGTCCCTGTCCCTGTCCCTTCCCTGTCCCCATCTCTGTCCCTATCCCCATCCCTGTCCTATCCCTGTCCCTGTCCCTTCCCTGTCCCCATCTCTGTCCCTATCCCCATCTCTGTCCCTATCCCTGTCCCTGTTCCTTTTTCTATCCCCGTCCCTGTCCCTGTCCCTGTCCCTGTCCCTCCAGGAGCATTCCCACAGCCACCCTTCCCTGCCTCAGTTTCCCACAGCAAGGTGGGACACGGGGGACAAATGTGTTTGCTGCCACCTCGTAGCCCTGGAGAAACACAGGGAGTGAAGGACACTCGGTGCCCCTCAGACAGGGGACAGCAGCACGGGTGACACTCCTCACAGCGCCCAGAGCCCGTCAGCCCGAGCTGGGCTGGGCCTGGGCGGGCACAGAACAGGGAGCAGCCACAGCCAGCCCCGTTCCAGCTGCCACTGCTGCCAGGGTGCCACAGGCACAGCGGCCGTGGCTGCAGTGACACTGGGATGGTGCTCAGAGCCACCCCCACACCTCCAGCCAGGACCAGAACCCCAATTATCCATCATTAATTGACCACAGTGAGGTTTAGGAGACCTTTCCTGCTCTGCTGGTGCCAGACTCTGCCCCGGGAGCCTGGAGGGGCAGCGGAGTCTCCATCCCTGGGATCCCACCCAGGAACCCTGATCCACCCTGGGATCCCACCCAGGAACCCTGATCCACCCTGGGATCCCACCCAGGAACCCTGATCCACCCCAGGATCCCACCCAGGAACCCCGATCCACCCTGGGATCCCACCCAGGAACCCTGATCCACCCTGGGATCCCACCCAGGAACCCTGATCCACCCTGGGATCCCACCCAGGAACCCTGATCCACCCTGGGATCCCACCCAGGAACCCTGATCCACCCCGGGATCCCACCCAGGAACCCTGATCCACCCTGGGATCCCACCCAGGAACCCTGCTCCACCCCACAGAGCTTGGTCCCAGCACTGGCAGCGTGAGCTGGGCCAGGCTCAGGGTCAGGACTGGGCACAGGGCAGCACGGCCGGGGACAGCTCGGGGTGCTGAGGGCACCCACAGGGTCAGGGGGCACAGAGGGAGGCGGGATGGCACAGGCAGGGATGCAGGGATGCAGGATGGGACAGGCAGGGATGCAGGATGGGGATGGCACAGGCAGGGATGCAGGGGGGGGAATGCCAGCAAGGAGGGATGCTGGTGGCAGCAGTGAGGGATGCAGGATGCTGCAGGAAGCAGAGTGGATGGGGTAAGGGGTGTGGGATTCTGCAGGCAGGGTTATGGCATGGGATGCGGGATGGGATGGAGGATGCTGCAGGCAGGGTTATGGCATGGGATGCAGGATGGGATGTGGGATGGGATGCAGGATGCTGCAGGCCCTGTCCTTGTTCCGGTCCCTGGCCCTGGCCCTGTCCCATTCCTTTTCCTATCCCTATCCCCAACCCCATCCCTGTTCCTGTCCCTGACTCCATCCCTCTCCCTGTCCCTATCCCTGTCCCCATCCCTGTTCCCATCCCTGTCCCCATCCCTGTCCCTGTCCATATCCCCGTCCCTGTCCCTGTCACTGTTCCTTTTCATATCCCTATCCCTGACCCCATTCCTGTCCCTATCCCCATCCCTGTCCTATCCCTGTCCCTGTCCCATCCCTGTCCCCATCCCTGTCCCCATCCCTGTCCCCATCCCTGTCCCTGTCCTATCCCTGTCCCTGTCCCTTCCCTGTCCCCATCTCTGTCCCTATCACCATCTCTGTCCCTATCCCTGTCCCTGTTCCTTTTTCTATCCCCGTCCCTGTCCCTGTCCCTGTCCCTGTCCCTCCAGGAGCATTCCCACAGCCACCCTTCCCTGCCTCAGTTTCCCACAGCAAGGTGGGACACGGGGGACAAATGTGTTTGCTGCCACCTCGTAGCCCTGGAGAAACACAGGGAGTGAAGGACACTCGGTGCCCCTCAGACAGGGGACAGCAGCACGGGTGACACTCCTCACAGCGCCCAGAGCCCGTCAGCCCGAGCTGGGCTGGGCCTGGGCGGGCACAGAACAGGGAGCAGCCACAGCCAGCCCCGTTCCAGCTGCCACTGCTGCCAGGGTGCCACAGGCACAGCGGCCGTGGCTGCAGTGACACTGGGATGGTGCTCAGAGCCACCCCCACACCTCCAGCCAGGACCAGAACCCCAATTATCCATCATTAATTGACCACAGTGAGGTTTAGGAGACCTTTCCTGCTCTGCTGGTGCCAGACTCTGCCCCGGGAGCCTGGAGGGGCAGCGGAGTCTCCATCCCTGGGATCCCACCCAGGAACCCTGATCCACCCCGGGATCCCACCCAGGAACCCTGATCCACCCCAGGATCCCACCCAGGAACCCCGATCCACCCTGGGATCCCACCCAGGAACCCTGATCCACCCTGGGATCCCACCCAGGAACCCTGATCCACCCCGGGATCCCACCCAGGAACCCTGATCCACCCTGGGATCCCACCCAGGAACCCTGCTCCACCCCACAGAGCTTGGTCCCAGCACTGGCAGCGTGAGCTGGGCCAGGCTCAGGGTCAGGACTGGGCACAGGGCAGCACGGCCGGGGACAGCTCGGGGTGCTGAGGGCACCCACAGGGTCAGGGGGCACAGAGGGAGGCGGGATGGCACAGGCAGGGATGCAGGGATGCAGGATGGGACAGGCAGGGATGCAGGATGGCAGAGGCAGGGATGCAGGGGGGGAATGCCAGCAAGGAGGGATGCTGGTGGCAGCAGTGAGGGATGCAGGATGCTGCAGGAAGCAGAGTGGATGGGGTAAGGGGTGTGGGATGCTGCAGGCAGGGTTATGGCATGGGATGCGGGATGGGATGCAGGATGCTGCAGGCAGGGTTATGGGATGGGATGCAGGATGTGGCAGTTGGGATGGTGAGGAGCACTGCAGGATGCCCCAGGCAGGGTGAGGATGCCCCGGCGGGCTGCGGATGCTGCCTGGCTCCCAGGCCCGCAGCACTTGGTGCCGCTGCCGGCCCAGCCCAGCCCGGCCCAGCCCGGCCCAGCCCAGCCCAGCCCAGCCCAGTCAGCATTCCCATCCCAGCCCAGCATTCCCATCCCAGGTCAGCATTCCCATCCCAGCTCAGCGTTCCCTGGAGCCACACCAGCCCAGCCGCCCCCCACTTTCGGCTGTCCCGGCTCAGGAACGGCTCCTCCCGGCAGGGTCGCGTCCTGCTCTCCCGGGACAGAGCCCACTGCCTTTCCTGCCTCTGGGGCATTCCCGGAACAATGCCGGGCTGGCGCTTTCATTCCGCACCGCGGAGCGCTTTGCAAACTTTAATTAAACCTCTGGGAACAGGGAAGCTGCCTTATCCCCAAATTGTGGAAGGGGAACCAAGGCATAAAGCAATTAAATCTGCCTGAGCGCGGCTGTGCCGGAGCAGGGCGGGAGAGCAGCGGCTCTGCCCGGCCCGGCTCGGCCCGGCTCGGCTCGGCTCGGCTCGGCTCGGCTCGGCTCGGCTCGGCTCGGTTCGGCGACGAGGCTCCCCGGGATTCCCGGCTGGAGCTGGGATGCTCCCGGCCTGGAGGATCCCGTGCCGCATCCCTCGCTCCCAAGGGAAAAGCTCCAGGAGCTCCCCGTGGGCGCGGGGGATGAGCTGTCCCCTCACTCCGGGAGGAATCGGTTTAACCCCTGAGCCCGGGGTTTTATCCCTTCCCAAATTAACCCTTCTCGTGCCGGCTGTTTGTGCGTGCCGAGGTCCCAGCGCGCCGTTCCCGGGGCTGGCTCTGTCCGCCGGGGTCGCCTCCCGGCCCGAGCTGCTGCTGCAGGACAGGGACGGTCCGGGGGGCTCCCGCATCCCTGTCCTGTCCCTAAGCCGGCTGCCAGCCGTGTTTCCCTGCACATTCCCAGCTGTGCCGGGTACCACGGCCCCCGGGACATCCCGCTCTGCCCGGGAATGCCGATGGCACCTGGGCAATCAGCGCTGGCCCCAGGGTGACATTGTCACCACCACTAGGGGACAATTAAAATCGGGCGCTGACACAAAGGGTGGGGGCACTGGGGTGGGCCTGGATGGGGACAGAGGGGGACCAGCCCCGCTGCCACAGGGTGACACCGCCTGTGCCAGGTTGTCACCCGAAGTGCCACCACCGCCAGTGCCAGCGCTGCACCTCCTCCTCTTCCTGTGGGGACTTTCCTCCTAAAAACCCCCCAAAACTTCTCTGGTTTGTTTCTGGGGACAGTTCTCAGGGCAGGGGACAGCTGCCAGCCCCGGGCCTTGCACGGGGCCACTCTGCAGCTCTATCTGGGCATCTTTCTCCTCCTGTGATTCCCAGGCATTCGCTCCGTTAATTATTAATTATTAATTACAGCCAGCACATTGCCCCTGGCCAGGGCTGCTCTGTCCCTGCAGGGACAGCTCCAGGAGGGGACAGCAGGATATCCAGGGACTCCATCATCACCCCAAATCAGAAGGGGACAGCAGGATATCCAGGGACTCCATAACCACCCCAAACCAGGAGGGGACACTGGGACACACGGTGACTCCATAACCAGCCCAAACCAGGAGGAGACACTGGGACACACGGTGACTCCATAACCAGCCCAAACCAGGAGGGGACACTGGGACACACGGTGACTCCATAACCAGCCCAAACTCCCCTCTGCAGGAGCCAGGGAGAGGCCTCTGCTTGGGGAATGCAGATTTGAGACCCCAGTGGGATTTGCCCCATGAGTTGCCAGGGGTGGAGCGGCTCTGCTGGGAATTCTGGGCTCCATGTGCCACAGGAATCCAGGGAAAGGCCTTCCCAGCCCAGGCTGCTCCCATGGGAGGGGAAGTGACTGGTGCCACCAGCGCTGGGCACAGCAAAGCGCTGCCCAGCCCGACAGGACACAGCACGGTGTCCCCAGCCTGTCCCATTCCCAGCACACATCTCAGATCCCAGCCTGGCACACAATCCTGGGGCACCTCAGGGCATGGGGTCCCTGCTGATCCCAGAGCACCACAGTGCCCAGGATCCCTGCTGATCCCAATGCCACCACAGTGCCCAGGATCCCTGCTGATCCCAGAGCACCACAGTGCCCAGGATCCCTGCTGATCCCAGTGCCACCACAGTGCCCGGGATCCCTGCTGATCCCAGAGCATCCACAGTGCCTGGGATCCCTGCTGATCCTACAGCATCCACAGTGCCTGGGATCCCTGCTGATCCCAGTGCCCCCACCCTGCCCAGACCCTCCCCCCAACACCCAGCTCGATGCCACCTGGTCACACCCGTGTGTCCTCATCACATCCAAACCCCCCAGAGGGCTCCCCTTGCTCAGACCATCCCAGATTCCCTTTGGAGCCCTCCCTTCTCCACCCTGATCCCACTTTTGGAGCACCTGGAGCTGCATTTTGTTCCCCAGTCCCTTTGATTTTGCTGTTCCGGGCCTGTTGTTCCAATCTTACCCCGAATTAACGCAGCTCCTCGGTGGGAGAACGGCTGGGAAGGGGTTAAACACCTGCACCATCCCCACCCCATTTCCCAAGGCATTCCTGATGCTGGGCAGCACCTGAACCTTTCTCACCTTCCCCGGGCTGCTCCAGGTGCTGCTCCCTGGCTGGGGGGCAAAGCTCCCTTTTCCAGGGGAAGAGCCGCTGGGAAACAGGGCCAGGCACAGCCATGAGCTGCAACCCCGTCTGGGAATTGTTAAATCCATGAAAAAATGGTAAAATCCCCCAGTGTGGGTTTGGGTGTGGGGCCCCAGGTGAAAACACACGTGTGTCACACCGGGATGGGTGTCCTGGATAAAGCGGGCTGGTTTTCCATGGAAATTTGATTCCATGCAGGATTTATCACCGAATATTTAATTAATAATAATAATAATAGTAATAATATCCTGGGTTTGGCACAGCCACCAGCCCCTGCCAATCCCAATACCAGGATGTCTCCCATCCCTCGGCACACCGGGATTATTTCCCTCCAGGTAATTAAAACAGATTTTTTTTTTTTTTAATTATTTTTCCAAAGCCACAAAACAGAAGGGAAAAGCTTTTCCCTGCAGCCTGAAGCCCCCGCTGGCGGGTGCTGTTCCCGGATGGATCCGTGGGGAAGGACGGAGCCTTTCCCGGCCCTGCCGCTGCCTCCCGTGCTCCCCGCGCTCGCTCCCCGCCAGCAGCAGCAGCAGCTTCCCAAAATCACAGAAACACCACGCCACCAAACAGGCTGCAGCACAGAAGAAATGAAAATGAAAAATATCTCCGTGGCCTCTTTGCACTCTGCGATCTCGCTGGGTCTGGGCTGGATGCCGCCGCTGCGCTTCCCCAATAAATGGCATTACTGCATTTAGGCTCCAGGCAGTGCTGGAAAAGGCCAGGGAATGGCTAAGCTCCCCCTGGGGCATCCCACAGCTGCCCTTTCCACCCCGACAAGTTCCTGGCTGTTCCTTGACCTTTGGGTTTTGTCCTTTTTTTCCCTTTTTTCTCCATTCCAGCCCGGAAGGTGACGGCAGCAGCGGGAAGGGACCCGAGCCGGTGTCGGCGCTGAGCCGCGGGCTGCGGGTCGGGGCAGCAGCACCCTCGGGATCCAAACACCCTGGGCATTTTGGGGGCTCAGTCCCTGCTTCCCGACACCCACAGCTGCTCCTTCCCGCTGTCCCCGTGCCGGTGACATTTTCCTCCCAGGAACTTCCCTCTCCCAGGGACGCGTCTGGAGGTTTTGTTTGGCAGAGCCTGGGCAAGGATGAGCCAGGCGGGTACTGGGAACACCCACGGCTCCAGCTTTATTTCCCAACTAAATTTAAGCTTAAAATTTCAATTAATTCATCACATAGGCCCAACCACCTCACCAGAATTCGGGGAAAACTTTCTCCCTCCTTTCATCTGCTGAATATCCCGGGAAATAAAACTCCTTCTCCTGGAGCATTTGGGAACAGCCGCTCACCGGAACACCGGGCTCGGACACACAGATGCTCAGCCCCAACTCCCTCATTTCCCCCCAGCTCTGCACACTTTTCCTTTCATCCTCGTGCTTCTCCTGGGTCTCCTTACATCTAAATTCCCGAGAAATGTCTGTTCTGATCCCAGAAAGTCTCACCCAAAACCAGCGCCTTTCGGCAGCACCGTCTCCACACCCATCCTGAATTCCGGGTGTTGGTGCACAGACCCGGAGCTGCTCGGCTCGGCCACGGTTTTCCAGCTTTCCAGGGAAGCCTTCAGGCTGCTGCTCCTTTCCTGACAGGATTTTTCAACCCAGAAATTGCTCCCGGGGAAAACACCCCAAGCCAGCGAGAAACAACACCGGAGAGGCGCTCGGGAGAGCGGGACGACGCCAGAGCCGCATTCCCACCCCAAACCTGCCACAGCTGCTGTAACCCCAAAAACTGCCTCACAAAAACCCCAAACCCACCCCGAGGAGCCGCAGAACACCCGCAGGCTCTGGGGGTCCTGGGCAAGCCCAGCTGGGGTTTGACACGGGAGCGCTGTGCGGGTCTGGGGCCGCTGCTGGAGCAGGGTGGGACACGGTGGGACACGGTGGGACAGCCAGGTGGCAGTACCTGTGTCTCGGAGAGGCTGAGGCTGCTGGCCAGCTGCTTGCGCTCGGCGCCCACCACGTAGTGGTTCTTCTCGAAGGCTCTCTCCAGGCGCAGCAGCTGCGACGGGGAAAAGGCCGTGCGGATGCGCTTGGGCTTGCGGGCGAAGGGGCCGTGCAGCAGGAGGCTCTCCTGGGACACCTCGCTCCCTGCGGGCACACACAGAGCTCAGCACAGCAGGGCGGTGCTGGGGTGGCTTCCTGGCCCTGCGACACGGGAAGGGCACAAAAGGGGAATTGCGGGGTTTGGGGAGGCTTGCCCACCCCGGAATTGCGGCGTTTGTGCCGCGTTCTGCCTCTTGGATCCTCTCAGCCCCGCGGTGGGGTTGGACACGGCGCCAAAGGGAGGGCAGGGAGAGAGGAAGGAAGGAAGAAGAGAGGGAGAAGGGATGGATGGGGAGAGCAGCAGGAAGAGGAAAGAAAAGAGGAAGGAAGGTGGGAGGCAGAGAAAAAAGTGAGACGGAGAGAAAAAGGAATTATAAAATGGGAGGAAGACTGAGAAAGTGGCAGGGAAAAATAGAGAAGGAAAACTAAGAAGGAAAAAAGTGGAGGGAAGAAGGAAAAAGGGAAGGGGACAAGGAAAGAGAGGAGAAAAGCGGGAAAGCAATTTTAAAAAGAGGGAAAGAAAGAGAAAGGAAAAAAGAAGGAAAAGAAGGTGAAAGGAGAAAGAAAGAAAGAAAGAAAGAAAGAAAGAAAGAAAGAAAGAAAGAAAGAAAGAAAGAAAGAAAGAAACAAGAAGGGCACGCAAAAAAAAAAAAAAAAGAAAGAAACAAGAAGGGCATGCAAAAAAAAAAGAAGGAAAGAAGCAAAGAATAACGAACGAGTGAAGGAAATCTGTAAAGCAAGCAAGCGAAACAAGGAAGAAAGAAACGAAAGCAAGGGAAGAAACTGAAAATTAAAGGCGGAGAGAGAAGGCAGGACAGAGGGACGGCTCGGGAGAGCGGCGGGCCGGGCTCGGCGGCGGCGGGGGACCCGGAGGGGCCGGGCCGGTGCCCCCGGGCGCCGCCGGCAGCGGCCGCAATCCCCGGCGGAGCCCCGGGGACGAGCGAGGGCTCGGTGCCGAGCAGATAAAACTAATCCGGGCTGCGGGACCCCCCGGCACCGCGGCGGGACGGAGGGGATGGCGGTGGAGGGGAAACGGAGAGGGGAAAAAAGAGAAAGAAGAAAAAAAAATAAAGAAAAGGAGGAAAAAAAAAAAGAAAGAAAAAGCATGGGGGAAAAAGGAAAGAAAAGGACGCAGCTACAGAAAGGAAAAGGAAAAGAAAGAGGATAGGAAGGAACGGAGAGAAAGAAAATAAAGATAAAAGAAATAGAGACAGAATCAGAAAATTAAGAGAAAGAAAGAAGGAACGAAAGAAAGAAAGAACGAAAGAAGCAAAACAAGAAAGTGAGGAAAAGAAAAAGGAAAGAAAGAGAAGAAATAAATAAAGAGAAGAAAAGGAATCGAGAGAAAATCTACAGAACCAAACAACATCTCCCTGCGCAGCCGAGATCCACCGCACCGAAATCCTTCCCTTCGTTCCCGGGAAGGAGAAAACCAAATTCCCGGCTCGGCTGCGCACGGAGGCGGCGGCGCCGGTCCCGTCCCCCGGAGCTCCGCGATGCTCGGCCGGGACTCTGCGGGGCTGCCACGGCCCCGGGGCTGCGGGAGCGCTCCGGCCGCGGCCGTGCAAAGGCACCGGCACCGGGAGCTCGCAGGCACCGGGAGCTCGGAGGCACCGGGAGCTCACAGACACCGGGAGCTCGGAGGCACCGGGAGCTCGGAGGCACCGGGAGCTCGCAGGCACCGGCCGCTCCCGGGGCCCCGGCCGTGCGTGCGGGCACGGCAGCAACAGGTCCTGCCCTGCAGCCGGGCCCCCCGAGCCCCGGGAAGGAGCCCCGCGGCTCCGCAGCCCCCGGGGCCGCCGGCAGCCCCCGGCCCGCGCCCCCCGCGGCCCCCGCTCACCTTGGAAGCGGTGGCCGAAGAAGCGGTTCCGCAGCACCCAGGGGTAAAAGTTGAGCGGGTCGCGGTGCTGCGGCCCGAAGAAGGGGTGCGGGTGCGGCAGGGCCGAGCCCCCCAGCTGGGGGGGCCCGACGGGCAGCGCCGGGTGCCCCACGGCCTCGGGGAAGACGAGCTCGGCGCTGCCGTACAGGGCCCGGCCGGCGGCTCCCTGGAAGCCGGGGGCGAAGGCGGCGGCGTCGGCGGCGGCGGCGGGGCCGGGGTAGGCGAGGGCGGCGGGGCGCGGGGGGTCCTCGGGGCCCAGGGGGGTGTCCTTGCCCACCAGGGACTCGATGGTGAAGCAGCGCTTCGCAGACGGCTGGAACATGGTGTGAGCCGGGAGCGGGGGGGGCCGGAGCGGGGCCGGTCCTGCGGGTGCGCGCGTGTGTGCGGTGTGTGTGTGTGTGCGTGTGCAAGAAACCTCCCCCTGGGCACGGCACACACACGCGGACCCGCGCCCCGCACCCCTCCCTGCCTCCGCCCCCGCCCCGCCGCCCACCCGCGGGCGCCCACGCGGCCCCGAGCCCCGGCGGCCGCTCCAGAGGCGGGCGGTACCTGCGGGGCCCGCGGGGGCGGCCTCACCTGAGCCCCGCGCAACGAGGGAGGGGAGGCCGGCGGAGGCAGGGCCGGGATGGGGAGGGCAGGGGGAGGCAGGGCTGGGGTGGGAGAGCGGGGATTGTAGGGATGGGATGGGAGAGCAGGGCCGGGATGGGAGAGCCTGGATTGTAGGGATGGGATGGGAAAGCAGGGCCGGGATGGGAGAGCCTGGATTGTAGGGATGGGATGGGAAAGCAGGGCCGGGATGGGAGAGCCTGGATTGTAGGGATGGGATGGGAGAGCAGGGATTGTAGGGATGGGATGGGAGAGCAGGGATTGTAGGGATGGGATGGGAGAGCAGGGATTGTAGGGATGGGATGGGAGAGCAGGGCCGGGATGGGAGAGCAAGGACGGGATAAGGGAGAGCAGGGATTGTAGGGCTGGGATAGGAGAGCAGGGCCGGGATGGGAAGGGCAGGACAGGGATGCAGAGAGCAGAGAATGCGGGGATGGGATGGGAAGGCAGGGCCGGGGTAGGAGAGCAGGGACGGGATGAGGGAGAGCAGGGATTGTAAGGATCGGATGGGAGAGCAGGGCCGGGATGGGAGAGCAAGTCTGGGATGACGAGGGCAGGGATTGTAGGGATGGGATGGGAGAGCAGCAACGGGATAGGGAAGCCAGCGGAGGCAGGGCCGGGATGGAAGAGCAGGGGAAAGTAGGGATGGGATGGGATGGGATGGAGTGGGAGAGCAGATCAGGTAGGGATGGGTCGGGATAGGATGGGAAGGCAGGGAGAAACAGGACGGGCAGTGCGAGGAAGAGGAGGCAAGAGGGGTGTAAGGACAGGCAGGGGAGGCAAGAGGAGGCCGGGGGAGGCAGGGGAAGGCACGGGAGGTACGGACAGGCAGGAGAGGCCGGGGAGGACGGGGGAGATGGGGCAGGAAGGGGAGGCAGAGGAGGCAAAAGGACGCAGAGAGCGCCCGAAAAACTGGACTGGAGCCGCTCCCGCAGGCACGCCGCGAACTTGTGGCACAGGGGCTCCGGCTGCGGGGCGCGGGGGTTTCCCTCAGTATTAAAAAAAAAAAAATTAAAATAATCTTTTTGAAGTCCTCATTTTTTTCTTCTTCTTTTGGTTTTTTCTTTCTTTTTTTTTTTTTTTTTTTTTTTGGATGGGAGAGCAGGGATTGTAGGGATGGGATGGGAGAGCAGGGATTGTAGGGATGGGATGGGAGAGCAGGGATTGTAGGGATGGGATGGGAGAGCAGGGATTGTAGGGATGGGATGGGAGAGCAGGGATTGTAGGGATGGGATGGGAGAGCAGGGATTGTAGGGATGGGATGGGAGAGCAGGGATTGTAGGGATGGGATGGGAGAGCAGGGATTGTAGGGATGGGATGGGAGAGCAGGGATTGTAGGGATGGGATGGGAGAGCAGGGATTGTAGGGATGGGATGGGAGAGCAGGGATTGTAGGGATGGGATGGGAGAGCAGGGATTGTAGGGATGGGATGGGAGAGCAGGGATTGTAGGGATGGGATGGGAGAGCAGGGATTGTAGGGATGGGATGGGAGAGCAGGGATTGTAGGGATGGGATGGGAGAGCAGGGATTGTAGGGATGGGATGGGAGAGCAGGGATTGTAGGGATGGGATGGGAGAGCAGGGATTGTAGGGATGGGATGGGAGAGCAGGGATTGTAGGGATGGGATGGGAGAGCAGGGATTGTAGGGATGGGATGGGAGAGCAGGGATTGTAGGGATGGGATGGGAGAGCAGGGATTGTAGGGATGGGATGGGAGAGCAGGGATTGTAGGGATGGGATGGGAGAGCAGGGATTGTAGGGATGGGATGGGAGAGCAGGGATTGTAGGGATGGGATGGGAGAGCAGGGATTGTAGGGATGGGATGGGAGAGCAGGGATTGTAGGGATGGGATGGGAGAGCAGGGATTGTAGGGATGGGATGGGAGAGCAGGGATTGTAGGGATGGGATGGGAGAGCAGGGATTGTAGGGATGGGATGGGAGAGCAGGGATTGTAGGGATGGGATGGGAGAGCAGGGATTGTAGGGATGGGATGGGAGAGCAGGGATTGTAGGGATGGGATGGGAGAGCAGGGATTGTAGGGATGGGATGGGAGAGCAGGGATTGTAGGGATGGGATGGGAGAGCAGGGATTGTAGGGATGGGATGGGAGAGCAGGGATTGTAGGGATGGGATGGGAGAGCAGGGATTGTAGGGATGGGATGGGAGAGCAGGGATTGTAGGGATGGGATGGGAGAGCAGGGATTGTAGGGATGGGATGGGAGAGCAGGGATTGTAGGGATGGGATGGGAGAGCAGGGATTGTAGGGATGGGATGGGAGAGCAGGGATTGTAGGGATGGGATGGGAGAGCAGGGATTGTAGGGATGGGATGGGAGAGCAGGGATTGTAGGGATGGGATGGGAGAGCAGGGATTGTAGGGATGGGATGGGAGAGCAGGGATTGTAGGGATGGGATGGGAGAGCAGGGATTGTAGGGATGGGATGGGAGAGCAGGGATTGTAGGGATGGGATGGGAGAGCAGGGATTGTAGGGATGGGATGGGAGAGCAGGGATTGTAGGGATGGGATGGGAGAGCAGGGATTGTAGGGATGGGATGGGAGAGCAGGGATTGTAGGGATGGGATGGGAGAGCAGGGATTGTAGGGATGGGATGGGAGAGCAGGGATTGTAGGGATGGGATGGGAGAGCAGGGATTGTAGGGATGGGATGGGAGAGCAGGGATTGTAGGGATGGGATGGGAGAGCAGGGATTGTAGGGATGGGATGGGAGAGCAGGGATTGTAGGGATGGGATGGGAGAGCAGGGATTGTAGGGATGGGATGGGAGAGCAGGGATTGTAGGGATGGGATGGGAGAGCAGGGATTGTAGGGATGGGATGGGAGAGCAGGGATTGTAGGGATGGGATGGGAGAGCAGGGATTGTAGGGATGGGATGGGAGAGCAGGGATTGTAGGGATGGGATGGGAGAGCAGGGATTGTAGGGATGGGATGGGAGAGCAGGGATTGTAGGGATGGGATGGGAGAGCAGGGATTGTAGGGATGGGATGGGAGAGCAGGGATTGTAGGGATGGGATGGGAGAGCAGGGATTGTAGGGATGGGATGGGAGAGCAGGGATTGTAGGGATGGGATGGGAGAGCAGGGATTGTAGGGATGGGATGGGAGAGCAGGGATTGTAGGGATGGGATGGGAGAGCAGGGATTGTAGGGATGGGATGGGAGAGCAGGGATTGTAGGGATGGGATGGGAGAGCAGGGATTGTAGGGATGGGATGGGAGAGCAGGGATTGTAGGGATGGGATGGGAGAGCAGGGATTGTAGGGATGGGATGGGAGAGCAGGGATTGTAGGGATGGGATGGGAGAGCAGGGATTGTAGGGATGGGATGGGAGAGCAGGGATTGTAGGGATGGGATGGGAGAGCAGGGCCGGGATGGGAGAGCCTGGATTGTAGGGATGGGATGGGAGAGCAGGGATTGTAGGGATGGGATGGGAGAGCAGGGATTGTAGGGATGGGATGGGAGAGCAGGGATTGTAGGGATGGGATGGGAGAGCAGGGCCGGGATGGGAGAGCCTGGATTGTAGGGATGGGATGGGAAAGCAGGGCCGGGATGGGAGAGCCTGGATTGTAGGGATGGGATGGGAGAGCAGGGATTGTAGGGATGGGATGGGAGAGCAGGGCCGGGATGGGAGAGCAAGGACGGGATAAGGGAGAGCAGGGATTGTAGGGCTGGGATAGGAGAGCAGGGCCGGGATGGGAAGGGCAGGACTGGGATGCAGAGAGCAGAGAATGCGGGGATGGGATGGGAAGGCAGGGCCGGGGTAGGAGAGCAGGGACGGGATGAGGGAGAGCAGGGATTGTAAGGATCGGATGGGAGAGCAGGGCCGGGATGGGAGAGCAAGTCTGGGATGACGAGGGCAGGGATTGTAGGGATGGGATGGGAGAGCAGCAACGGGATAGGGAAGCCAGCGGAGGCAGGGCCGGGATGGAAGAGCAGGGGAAAGTAGGGATGGGATGGGATGGGATGGAGTGGGACTTCAGATCAGGTAGGGATGGGTCGGGATAGGATGGGAAGGCAGGGAGAGACAGGACGGGCAGTGCGAGGAAGAGGAGGCAAGAGGGGTGTAAGGACAGGCAGGGGAGGCAAGAGGAGGCCGGGGGAGGCAGGGGAAGGCACGGGAGGTACGGACAGGCAGGAGAGGCCGGGGAGGACGGGGGAGATGGGGCAGGAAGGGGAGGCAGAGGAGGCAAAAGGACGCAGAGAGCGCCCGAAAAACTGGACTGGAGCCGCTCCCGCAGGCACGCCGCGAACTTGTGGCACAGGGGCTCCGGCTGCGGGGCGCGGGGGTTTCCCTCAGTATTAAAAAAAAAAAAATTAAAATAATCTTTTTGAAGTCCTCATTTTTTTCTTCTTCTTTTGGTTTTTTCTTTCTTTTTTTTTTTTTTTTTTGGTTTTTTTTTTCTTTTTTTTTTTTCTTTTTTTTTTTTCTTTTTTTTTTTTCTTTTTTTTTTTTTTTTTTTAATATATTTTTTTCCCCTATTTAAATGAATAAAGCAGCGCTGCCGGCAGCGCGGAGCGGAGCCCGGCCCGCGGGGGGAGGACAGGTGAAGCCTCCCCCACCGCTCCCGCCCCCCGCGCAAGCTCCGCTCCCCTCCGCGTGTCCCCTTCCAAAGGCAGGACCTTCCCCCGGCCGAAACCTCTTCCCACCGCTCCGATCCTGCGCCGGGAATGAAAACAAAATAAAAAAAGCCAAAGCTCCCAAGAAGT